ATGCAAAACAAAACTTGTAGCCAGCACGCATGGGCGTCGCCGTGCAACCTGTACATGTTACAGCATGATGTACGCATGTCTGGTTTGATCCCACGTTCTGACTCTGACACGCAGCAACCAAAGACCAGGTAAACACACGTCACATGTTAGTTGTCAATCATATTCTTACCAGAACATTTTCATCGAGCGGTCCATGCCATCCTCACACAAAAGTGAGCTGGTTACCGTTGGCATTTGCGGTCTGTTCCCCAATTTGCAAGCGAGTAATTACTAAGCTTTGCACTCCGTCTTAGTTTGTCTTCACGTGATGAGTAAGTTTTTTCATAGCAATCTGTTGTGTTGCAGTAAGAATTATTAAATCAATTACGTGGCAGCCGGGTAAAGCTCCAAATAATGCAGGTCGCAGTACCCTAAAATGCTGTTTATAAAGTCGTAAAATTTCCACCTACGAGCGACCACCCATTCAACATTCATATATAAAATGGACTTAATTGTTTGTCCAACTACATTGTACATCTTAAGGGGAATCGGTAGCTGTATTATATATTTCTTACATTATTATATTTCCCCGAATATATCAGCATCGCCTTGTGGTCATGTATCTATGGAGCAGCCCGTATTGCGGTGATTGCAATTTTGTCGGCTTTGCACACTCTCACGGAAGTTCCTGAACTCTTTCCAAGCATAGCCATAGTATTATAGATCCTTGCATCTAGTTATCACACTAGGTCGGAGTGTGCTCTATAGAAATGTAATGTGCTCACAGCTCTATAGAAATGTAAGCTGCATAGTTCGTTAAGCTGAACCGATCTTCCAGAAATCGGGATCGAACACGTCACTTTTTGCACCATTGTTAGCTTCCGGTTCGAGACGTCTGCCAACTTTAGTTTTCATCTGTATGGTGTTTTTCGTAATAGCGTTGCTTATGACAGGAAGTCGACCCTAGTTGGAGAATATTTATACCTTAATTTGTTGATATTATGTGTCTCCCATTTCTCGGTAAATCGTCGCCCAACTTTTTTTTGCTGACGACAGTTTTGAGACATACAACCTTATTGTTCGCTGCACATGTTCGAATATACTTATATCGTGCCAAATAATTTTTATGCTCCCCGCCTGATATAACGGCTTACTGGTGTGTGCCTGAAATTCAGCAATAACTTGAATATCAGTAATAAGGCTGGTTGTAAATTTGTCGCTTTACTCGTGTCTTATCGGGTCTGTATCCTTTCATGCCAGATGAATTCGCGGTTCGAGTGTAGGCATTTTCTCTACACCGTATTAAATGATTGGCAGAACGCTAGCACGTTTGATGCTTTTAGTCCACCATATTCACTATCTCGGGTTAATATCCTCTTATCAGCTTTGGAAGGCCAGCCTCGGCCTTATGAACCGCATTATTTTGCTCTGCATCACTGCTAGGCTCTTCTTTGCGAACTCCCACAACACACACACACACACACACACACACACACACACACAACACACACACACCACACACACACACACACACACACACCACACACACACACACACACCACACACACACACACACACACACCCACCCACACACCCACACACACACACACACACACCACCCACCCCACACACAACACACCCACACACCACACCCACCACACACCCACACACCACCCACACACACACCACACACACACACACACACACACACAAACACACACATCCAACACACACACACACACACACACACACACAAACACACACACACACACACCACACACACACACACACACACACACACACAGACACACACACACACACACACACACACACACACACACACACACACACACACACCACACACACACACACACACACACCACACACACACACACACACACACACACACACACACACACACACACACACACACACACACACACACACACACACACACACACCACACACACACACACACACACACACACACACACACACACACACACACACACACACACACACACACACCACACACACACACACACACACACACACACCACACACCACACACACACACACACACACACACACACACACACACACACACACACACACACACACACACACCACACACACCACACACACACACACACACACACACACACACACACACACACACACACACACACACACACACACACACACACACACACACACACACACACACACACACACACACGCTCATATAAACGATCTGAGATGACATCAGATATCTAAAGACAGTGATTTGGTAGGGCCCCTTAAATACTGCTGGCACAACACATTGATCTAATCAAGCGTCTTTTTGGAACCGGTTACCTGAGACGCAGAGCACGCTCGCGCCCAGCCATGTTATGCCCATAATACGCATATCATGATAATATGCAATATAAACATAAAATATGCCCAGTGGTTTCACTTTGTTTACGGCCTGTATTCATTGAACAGACTCGTTACTGCCTTTCTGACCTTTGTCTACGTTTAGACCCAGCTTAGAAGCCCTGCCGAACTCATGTATTCGTGCAGCACTGACTGCTGATTACCTGCTGTGGGAAAACAATTTTATGTCGTCAGCGTGCCAGCATAGCTTGACCCCTACGTTACTCACCTTGATGCCTGAAATACTTTCTCTACTCTCGTGTATAAATTGTTGCTAAAATTTATATCGCCAGATCAAATGGTATTCCACTAAGTGGCGACGTCTGGGAAGTGACTTTACTCAAACCCGTTTTATGTAAACCTGCTATTGACTATTACCAAAAAAAAGTTTCTGTATAATACTTTAAACCATGCCATAAAATTGTCTTCAAAATGATACGCTCGAAGAGCAGAAGCGCAAGTCATGCTCCAGCGAATAGAATGCATCTCGATTGTCGCATGTATTCATATAATCTGGTCCATATCACTATACTCCTTGACATCCGAAGCTAATCTTATATCCGTACCTATAAAACGGCCCTCGATAAAGCCAGCTTGTATATATATATATATATATATATATATATATATATATATATATATATATATATGTATATATATATAATATAATATAATATAATATAATATATATAATTTCATTTATATGTTTATCTAGATATACATGGATATGCATATATACATCAATTTATAATTATACACATGTGTCCAGTAACTATAAAGTATGTGTCTAGTAAACGTAGATACCTTTTATTTTTAATTGGGCAAAGTCTCTTTTCTTAGGTACGTATCACAGTTTTGATGCAAGGATATATGCCATGGATTGTGATTCTGTAGAGAGCTGGCTCCAGTGGTCAGTTCTCAGCGATGATATTGGTCTGTTTGTTTGATTGATTTTTTATCAACGCATTAGTCATCGTAAAGTATCGGCGTCGGGTCCAAAACCATTCACTAATTTGTTCGCACATGTAACATCCCACGGGACAAACGTCGTATGGCATCCACCGCGACAGCAGGGAAAGATTTCACCAGCGATATGGGGTCTCACACCGCAGCCAAACATGAATATATTTTTCCGGAGAAAGTTGTCTTACTATCTTAGTAACAATATGAATCCATTTTGGTGCACCAAAGGAATTTAACAATGTTGAATGATGTCATTTGACGACACTTATTGAAAAATGCAATGCAATTATTATAAGCAAACGAAAAATCATTTGTTTGTGTGTATGACGAGCCTTCTCGTGCTGCTGAACAGTTTTCGCATCCTCGACAGTTGAAAGACGAATGACTTCATATTGGAAGTAAATTATGTGTAAAGCATGGAATTGCACCCGTTAAACTCATTGCCGTCATTGTTACTTCCAACCAGTTTGATGTTTGCCATCTTATCACAAACCTCTTTGATGTGAAAGATGTGGAAGTGCTCGAAATTTAAGAAGGAGCCACGCATTTCTAGATGAAACGACGCGACGATTCCGAGCAGTTGAAATAAAAAGTTCGTCGCCCCTTCTCAAACCGCTTTTTACAGTGCACAATATTTCGCCACGTCTGCATATGAACCAGAGGAGTGTGTCTCAGAGTGTTCAGTAGCACCCGCTACCACACTGGGGGTACCGTTAGTGAAGTGGATATGCTGCGCGTCTGGGGAAACCAGAGGATCGGGGTTCGCTTCCCCTGCCGCCTGCCTCTCCCCCTGCAGGGTGTGAGGCAGGCGGCGCCATGTGTTCTCAGCAGCTGAGTGCGTCGCAAGCCCATTGGCACACACACCATCCTACTGTGCCGTAATCCCCGGGGACCACGTGTGGAGCAGGGTGTCGTTAGGTGACCCGGCGACGGGATGGCACGGCAGTGTCGTACCGATGTGGCCTGTCTGCTCCCAGACGGTGCGTCGTTCAAGAGCAAATAAACTAACGATAACTGATAAGCGGATAGGCTGATCTATCTTGAACCGCTTTTTCCGCTGCCTGTACGGTGTCGTGCTCTTCCTCGCTCGGTTGTAGTTGCTGGTTGGTTGTAGTTGTTGCATGCGTTAGCAAACAATGCGTATGCTTTGGTTGGCACTTATCTTTATATATGTTGAGGGTAATGGCTTATTTCAGGCTGGCTGGCAAGTGGCCCCTGTTATGAAAATTTGCATGTGCGCCGCACTTCAATTTGTGGACAGCGCTTATGCCAAATGCGTGCTGAATGTCACGAAAACGCAAATTCAAAGGCAAGTCTTCAGATACACGTATGCATTTTGGAGTTAGTTTCACCAGCCTTCAGGAGGGCACCAGCTGTTGCCCTTCAGCTAGATGACAGAATCCGCTCGCATGAGATAGCTCCACGTATCCTCATCACAAGGCGCACGGCCGTGATGAATATGACACGCCTTCTCATCAGCGCTCGAGCGGGCGGGCGCGAACTCGCGAGCGCCGGCGCCGCAGTGAGCGCGTGACCATCCCCGATCAATTAGGGGGGGGGGGGGCACCGACGCCGGCGGCGGCGCCAGACGCTAGCGCGCGCCCGCGGCGGTCGGTTGACGGGGAGCGGCGGCGGCGAACGGACGGGGTTGCGTGCCGTGCTGTCGTGCGGACTGGCGGGCGGCGCGGGCGGCGGACTGCTCAGCATGCTGTACAACATGGCGGCCGTGCCGGGCGGGCTGGTGTCAGAGCCGGGCTACTACGCGCCCTACCCGCAACCGCCGCTGCTGGCGAAGCTGGGCGGAGAGCCGGCGCCGGCCCACAAGGAACCGGACGCCGTGAAGCTCTTCATCGGCCAGATCCCGCGCCATCTGGAGGAGCGCGACCTGCGGCCCATGTTCGAGGAGTTCGGCAGCATCTACGAGCTGACCGTGCTCAAGGACAAATTCACCGGCATGCATAAAGGTCAGTGCGCGGCGGCCGGTCGGCTGACCTGTTGACGCCGCCGGCGAATCTTCGGTCCGCCTGGGAAAGAGGGTCGGGAGGAGGGGGCGTTCCGTCGCCGCAGCGCCCGCATCACCGTCAGCCCCTGCGTTTCACATATCGGCTGATCGGACAGTGGGCATTGTGCGTTAGCGGCGGCCGCAAATTGGCCTAGCGGTGGCCGTGCCTGGCACCGGAGCGTTGGCCATGTGGCGGCCCCGTGCGCTGACGGAAAGGCTCGTTTGGCTGATTGTCCTTTCGCACGCTCGCGGCCTTTGGGCGGGCCGGGCGCGCGTGAGTCGGTGACGCGACTGCCGCCGCGGCGCCGCCGCTCGCCGGCCCGTGCGGGCCTGTGAGGGGTCAGCTGGCATGACTTAGCCTCATTAGCGGCGCAGAGCCGCTGTTTGGGCAGCGTCCGACCAGAGGCTGTCATTCGAGCCGAACGTCAATGTGACCAAAGTTTCCGGAGTGGGGTTGGTAGGGTTCGGGCTTCCTCGAAAGAGGATGATAGCTTCAGGTGTGGGGTCACGAGGTTAAAAGACCGAGTCTGTTCAGCCGGTGTGCGACGATTGTGGCAGTCATAATTAGGCAGACTTTCTTCCGTAGAAAGTTAAGACCTCAAAGCGTCGATCCCGGGAACTAGGCTGACAATTATTGAGACTTCCCGAAAACTATCCAGACTCGAGACGCATCTGCTCGTCTGCCAGTGACCGCCACACGAAGGCCTGACACTGAAAGGAGAGGAAGCATCGGGACAGAAAACTTACAGGATAGTGTATGCGCCGACGGCCCATATTGTGCTGTACTTTGCTCGTCCTCAGAATTATTAAAGTTCACGTCCACGGCCGTCTGTTGCTGTCGTACCCAGCTCCTCTAACGCGAAAGGCAGGAGACAGAAGAATGGATGATGGGTGGCGCGTGGCTGTTAATAATATCGCGAACGTCCCGGTGCATTTATCTAGCTGGGAAACGGTGCAATGAAATAAGATCCATGGCAGAAGACAGGGACATATATCAGTTTCATGGCCTCCCGTCACCAACATCATCCCTGGGCAACAGAATCATCTCTGGCATTTAAATGTGCAACAACGGAAAATGTTCCGTTGCTGCATAACGGAGCATTCGCCATGACTTAATAACAACGGACTCGACGCTCGCATTAGATTGTGCCACTGACGGGTGGAACTCGCCGTGTCTTGCAGGGGTTTGTGTCCCCTCTTCCCAGCGTTTCTGATTTTTGACATGCATTCCATGGCTGTTGTTGATAAACAGTTAAACTTCACCACCACTTGCCTTCAACGATTTTGAATAAAAATCTTCACCCCTGGTATGTCGTTGGACGAGGATTTGCGACGTGTACCTAGAGCCAAGAGAACGGCACCATATTATTCCGTACCTCGCGACGACAAACAGGCGCGTCCGCCTCCCTCTTCTGGCTGCTGACGCTCTCCACCGCGGGGCGCGCATCGGTCTGACAGCGGCGGCAGCGGGTAATGAGCTGCGACGGAGACCTCAGGGTGGCTGCACTCAGGGCTCGCTGGAGTCGTTCCAAGGGAGCCTCGCTGCGCTCTTGTCCCGGACATGCTCAGACTGGCGAGCCACTGGTGCCGGCCGAAGTCGCGCGTTCCGAGGGCTTCTGGGCTCCTCTGGGTAGTGGGTCTTGGGGAGAGGGTCACTGTTTTCCCGACGTTCCGGCCGTTCCAGATCCCTTGACCGAAACAACGCAGTTTGCGAAATAACTGAATCCGAAGTTTTCAGTCATTACTTGCTGTAACATAGTAAACAACGGACAACGACATCATGTGTGATGAAGCGTGTAGAGCTGACGAACCGGATGCCGCCTCCCCTTCTCCCAATGTCTTCTCCTAGAATGGCTTTGTTTTGGTGCCAGAGCAGCGCAGCCGGGCACCAACCAGTCCGTGACCTGAGTCATTTTGCAGGCGGTCCCCCGGTGTTTGAGATCCCTGCAGAAAGCAGATGAAGTTGATGGCATCATTGTCTGCTGATTGTGATCTCAGTGCAGTGTCTTGTGCTGCCCGATGCATTCATGGACACTTCATAGTATGACTGTAAAATGCTACCAGCACAACGCCTGCCGGATGAGGAAACATCCCACCGTTTGTTGACAGTTTTCCGTGCAACCAAGGCGGTTCTGATTATGTTGCCATACCACGCCCAGTTGTCGTTTCCTTTGCAAGAGCCAGTGATGGCTGTCTACCCCCCCCCCCCCCCCCCCCCCCTATGACGTTACGCAGACTGTGGCCCCTTCCGCACGCACTCTGCATAGAGCCGCACGCCTCCCCGTCACGAATCTGCGAGGCACCGACCTGCAAACGGCCTGTTTACGAGCCTGCGGGACGGACCGACCGCACGGCATCAGGCGGGGCCCCGCGCGTGACCTCACGCCTTTCTCCTGCCCGTGCGCCGGACCGGTCTGCGTGGCGCCAGCCGCTCTCCGCGCGGCGACGCTCTCCGCGGCGCTCTGTGAGTCACACGGGTGGCGCGCAGCAAGGGAGGGGGCAATGACCTGTGCGCTCCCCTTTATTGTCTGCCCGGCTTTCACCGGGCAGGCTCCCTCCCTTGCCGTTTCCCCTCGGCGCAGCGGGGAGAAAATTGAGTCGGAGGGGACAGCTCGGTCTGGCTCCGGAGGGCAGCCCGACTGCGCTGACTTCTCCGCGTCGGATGCAGCAGCTGGGTCCGTCGGAGGTCCCAGCGTGCACGTTGGCTGCCCTTGAAAGGGCCCTCTCATCGCCATCTTTTTACTGCACATCGTTCACGCGGTGCAGTAAAAACAACAACAGTGCTTGTCTGTCTGTTTACTGCGCTTTGCATGCACTTGGTCCGCTTTTAGATCAAAGTCTCGGAGATTGGCCTGATTCAGCGTCAGCGAATCGCCCGCGCCGGCCGTGGGCATTAAGCGAGGCCATGTCGCATGAAATCCGAATCTGTCGGCCCGGATTAGCCGATGCCAGCTCTGAGAAAACGTCAGCCCGGGCTCGCCTACCAAGTTAAGCCATCAGGACCTCGCAACAGGACATTCCACTGTGAAGGAGCTGAAGGAGCTGCCTGTGTCAGAAGCAGACAAAACTCTTCACCGTGTCACCAACAACGAACTTGTCTTGTACTTTGTTGTTCGCGGTCGCTGAGTATAATGTTTTGAGCGTCTGATAACGCACCAGTTTACCGCTAAGTTTGCCTCCCGTACTAACCGAGTACGTTAATCGAATACGTGATGTGTGCGTCGACCTATGCGTGTTACAGCGTGCTACTCGCTGGCAAATGTCACCTATCCCATATTGGATTGCCTGAGGCTGTCCCCGAGTGCGTATGGGCCATGCAATCAGCTGGCGTGTTGGTCCAGTCCGCTGAGCAAACAAGATGGCCGCCTGTTTGGTCAGCCTGTTTGCGGGCCATTGGACCTATCCGCCATCTATTAATGCGTCATCATTCCAGCGACCGATTTCATTATGGCTGCGACATGATCGATGATCCACATGGGGAACATTTTTTCCTTTTCTCTCACTCTCTCTTCTTGCCGAAGGCAGCGTGGGCATGTGATCGCATTCGCCAAAACGACGGAGGAAGCCTGCAATGTTATTTGTAGGACGGGCATATTTAGTCGGCCATTTCCTCTTTTGATATTTCTTGTTACCGATAATGCCAGGAATAACTGAACGAAGAGCTTTGTGAGATTTCCCCGCCTTTATCCTCCCTTCTTCACGTTTATTTATATTACATATTATGCAAGGAAATCTGTATTGCGCAACCCCTTTAAAAATAGAACGTGACGCTCGTCGCCGCGCACCCTGGTATGGAGCGCCAACAACCGCAGACGCCATATTAACCCTGGTATGGAGCGCCAGCAACCGCAGACGCCATATTAACGCTCAGGGGCCAACATGCAACCTGGATAGGGACCCGGCCCCCCTACGTAGGTGCCTAAGACGCTAACGACTCGTCCATTACGCCCATTAACCACTCGGCCATTGCGCAGCGTCTCATTTGTATCGCGACAAATAAAGGATCAGACAGGTGCTATTTTATTTCATTAGTTTAGCCCTTTTCGTCCCATTTGGGACGTTGAAGAGCTTGGGAACGAGACGGGAGGTTAGAGTGGCATCGTAACATCTCATCAGCTTTCGGTACCTTAGACCCCGAGTATAAGCGTAAAGGGAACGTTCCGTTTTGAAGGTATCGTTCTATCCACCGGGTAGACTAACACCTTAGCGAGCCTCCGCCAGTGGTGAGCTGCAGTGAGATACCGTGTGTGTATGAAGGGGGGGGGGGAGCTGGGCTTACACCGTACTGGTACAAGAATAGATGACTTTTGCATTTCGGGATAGCAGACGGTCCGTGCAAAGTATTTTAAATTCGACCTGATATATCGTATGTGGTACGCATTTGTCGACTTGTGTGTTATTTCGCATGTGCGGAATCGATTCCACCTCCGAATGCTGTTTGTGGGGCTGGCTCTAACTCTGTCTCAAAAGCAGGGCAGCACATTTTGAAATCTACTCTGATTTTAAATCAGTTATGTTAGCTCAATCCCCAAGTCGATTTTGATTGGAGCGATTCCAGCAACAACTTCATACATACGCCATGTGTGTGCAATATCAACAGATGCCGCACACATGACAGAAATGCCTACCTGAAATCCTTGTGCTTGATTCAACTCATCGATGGTCACAGGTAACACAACCTGCCCGGCTTTAGCTCCATCCCACTCTAGTTTGTCAGAAAATCGATTCCACTTTATCTCGTCAAACATTAAGCTGATTCTAAAACCGATTTCTGCGTCGTTCGGAGCCAAGCACAGGTCTGCTGCTTGCGAACAGATGGCGAACATGATGCATTCGTTCTGTTATCTTTCCGGGTCCTTCATCCGATGAATGCTCGACTGCACCTGCGCCCAATGGCTCGCACAATCGTATTCCAGTGCGTATTCGTCTTGTCTGCCTTTACCACGTCCATGCTTTCCTGGT